ACAATTTACACTCAGCCACCCTTCCTTTGTTCTAGATGATGTCTGCTCTGTCCTTTGCGGTAATTTTCAATTGTTGTGTGAGGCGGCAATTTCCCGGTGTTTACCTATGCCGCCATCTTAGTTTCTCCCAAAACCACACTTTTAAGGTTTTTCAAGAACTTTCTAGAAATGGTCGATAAATTTAGTGAGACCCTCAAGGATATGAAAAAGGACCAATTAGAAATTAAGCATACACTGACTGAAATCCTATCTAATAAAAGACAAAAAGGGTAATTAACCATACCTCCGCTATGCTTCCCATTGGCTAATCAGGGAGATATGCAAATTAACTGCCAACAAAGATGGCGGCCGGCAGCCACGCAGCTGAAGCGAGCAGGAGGCTTGCTTGCTCCAGTGATGGAGGAAGCCAAGGTTCCCTGCCTGCCGCGGCCTGGCTCTGAGCTTCAGAAGCAACAATGTTTCAATTATAGAAGCTAAACAAACCCCAGATACCTGCTTTCAGCCAGCTGTGGCCTCAGAGCTGGGAGCACCAGTGACGGCAACAGAGTTTCAATTATAGAAGGTAAATAAATCCCAGAATAAAAAAAGAAAAAAAGGAGAGGCTGGGAGCTTCAGTCACTGGCCAGCCTGAAAATGGCCCTCAGCCCCTCACCCAGACTGGCCAGACACCCCAGTGGGGACCCCCACTCTGAAGGGGGTGTGACCAGTCCGAAAATAGCCATCAGCCCCTTATCCAGGCTGGCCAGGCACCCCAGTGGGGACCCCCACCCTGAAGGGGATGTGACCAGCTGCAAACAGCCATCAGCCCTTCACCCAGGCTGGCCAGGCACCCAAGCGGGACCCCCACCCTGATCCAAGACACCCTTCAGGGCAAGCCAGCTGGCCCCCACCCATGCACCAGGCCTCTATCCTATATAGTAAAAGGGTAATATGCAAACTGACCCTAACAGCAGAAAGACTGGGAAAGACTGGTCACTATGACACACACTGACCACCAGGGGGCAGACGCTCAATGCAGGAGCTGCACTCTGGTGGTCAGTGTGCTCCCATATGGGGGAGCTCTGCTCAGCCACAAGCCAGGCTGATGGCTGCCAGTATAGCGGTGGTGGTGGGAGCCTCTCCTGCCTCCTCAGCAATGCTAAGGATGTCCGACTACAGCTTAGGTCTGCTCCCCGCTGGCAAGTGGACATCCCCGAGGGCTCCCGGGCTGCCAGAGGGATGTCTGATTGCCAGCTTAGGCCCAATCCCCTGGGGAGCAGGCCTAAGCCAGCAGGTGGTCATCCCCCGAGGGCTCCCAGACTGCAAGAGGGCACAGGCCGGGCTGAGGGCATCCCCCCTGAGTGCACAAATTTTTGTGCACCGGGCCTTTAGTAAAGAATAATATACAGAGATCCCAACAACAGACTAGAGCAGGGGTCCTCAAACTACGGCCCATGGGCCAGATGCAAATACAAATATTGTATTTGTTCCCGTTTTGTTTTTTTACTTCAAAATAATATATGTGCAGTGTGCATAGGAATTTGTTCATAGTTTTTTTAAAAACTATAGTCCGGCCCTCCAATGGTCTGAGGGACAGTGAACTGGCCCCCTGTTTAAAAAGTTTGAGGACCCCTGGACTAGAGGATCCCAAGAATCGAGGCAAAGATTTGAAATACGAAGAAGCAAAAAACACCCAACCGGAAAAGCAAAAGGAAAAAAGAATACAGAAATATGAAGATAGTGCAAGGAGCCTCTGGGAAAACTTCAAGCATACCAACATCCAAATTATAAGGGTGCCAGAAGAAGAGAGAGAGCAAGATATTGAAAACCTATTTGAAGAAATAATGACAGAAAACTTCCCCTACCTGGTGAAAGAAATGGACTTACAAGTCCAGGAAGCACAGAGAACCCCAAACAAAAGGAATCCAAAGAGGACCACACCAAGACACATCATAATTAAAATGCCAAGGACAAAAGACAAAGAGAGAATATTAGAAGCAGCAAGCGAAAAACAGTTAGTTACCTACAAGGGAGTACCCATGTGACTGTCAGCTGATTTCTCAACAGAAACTATGCAGGCCATAAGGGAGTGGCAAGAAATATTCAAAGTGATGAATAGCAAGAACCTACAACCAAGATTACTCTACCCAGCAAAGCTATCATTTAGAATTGAAGGTCAGATAAAGAGCTTCACAGATAAGAAAAAGCTAAAGGAGTGCATCACCGCCAAACCAGTATTATATGAAATGCTGAAAGGTATTCTTTAAGAAGAGGAAGAAGAAGAAAAAGGTAAAGATAAAAATTATGAACAACAAAGTGACAAAAAATACATATCTATCAACAAGTGAATCTAAAAATCAAGTGAATAAAAAATTTGACAAACAGAATAAACTGGTGAATATAATAGAATCAGGGGCATAGAAAGGGAGTGGACTGTCAATTCTCAGGGGGAGGGGGTGTGGGGGGTACGGGAAGAGAATGGACAAAAATCGTACACCTATGGACAAGGACAGTGGGGGGGGCGGTAAGGACAGGGGGTGGGATGGGAACCAGGTGGAGGGGAGCTATGGAAAAGAGGAACAACTATAATAATCTGAACAATAAAGATTTATTTTTAAAAAAACCAAAGAAAAGTTATCTCTGATGAATACAGATGCAAAAATCCTAAACAAAATACTAGCAAATAGAATACAATAATACATTTAAGAAATAATACATCACAATCAAGTGGGGTTCATTCCAGGGGCACAAGGATGGTTCAACATACACAAATCAATCAACGGAATACATCACGTAAACAAAACAAAAGATAAAAATCACATGATCTTATCAATAGATGCAGAAAAAACATTTGATAAGATACAACATCCATTTATGATTAAAACATTCAAGAAGATGCTATAGAAGGAAAGTACTCCATATAATAAAGACCATATGTGACAAACCTTCAGCCAATATCAAACTTAATGGAAAAAACTGAAAGCTTTTCCTAAAAACGTCAGGAATAAGACAAAGATGCCCACTCTCGCCACTCTTATTCAACACTAAAGGCCCGATGCACAAAATTCGTGAATGGGTAGGATCCCTAGGCCTGACCAGCAAGCAGGGCCGATCTGTTGAGGAACTGGCGGGGCAACTGGTGGGGTGATTGGGGGGCCCCCCCGCTGCCATCCGCCTTGGCTAGCCTGGGGCCTGCAGGCTGGGGGCATCTCCTGCGTTGAGCATCTGCCCCCCGGTGGTCAGTGCACATCCGGTCGTTGCACCATTTAGTCAATTTGCATATTAGGCTTTTATTATGTAGGATAGTTCTGGAAATCTGAGCCCAAGCAATCAGGCAAGAGAAAGAAATACAAGGCATCCAAATTGGTAATTAAAAAGTAAAAGTATCACTCTTTTCAGATGACATGATTCTGTATCTAAAAAACCCTAAAGACTTCACCAAAAAATTATAGAAACAATAAATATAGTAAAGTTGAAGGATACAAACATCAATGTACAAAATGCCACTACTTTCCTATATGCTAACAAAACTTCAGAAAAAAAGAAATGAAAAAAACAATTCCTTTTGCAGTAGCAACCAAAAGAATAAAATACATAGGGATAAACTTAATAAAGGAGGTCAATGATCAATCTACAAAGCATTATTAAAGGAGATTGAAAAAAAAAAAAACACAACAAAATGGAAAAATATTCCATGTTTATGGCTTGGAAGAATCAACATAAAATGGCCATATTACCCAAAGCAATATACAGATTTAATACAATCCCCATCAAAATCCTAATGTCAGTTTTTAAAGAATTAGAAAAAAACACACATCAAATTTGTATGAAACCACAAAAGACCCCCAAATAGCCAAAACAATCCTGAGAAAAAAGAACAAAGCCAGAGATATCATACTACCTGACTTCAAATTATACTACAGAGCTAATATAATCAAAACAGCATGGCACTGGCAGAAAAACAGACACACAGACCAATGGAACAGAATCGAGAGCCCAGAAATAAAACCACATGTTTATGGGCAAATAATTTTTGACTAAGGAGCCAAAATTGGTGCTGGGAAAATTGGAAAAACATATGCAAAAGAATGGCACTAAACTACACTTTGTCCCATGTACCAAAATTAATTCAAAATGATTCAAATACTTAAATATAAGACCTGAAACAATAGATTTTATAGATGAAAACATATGTACTAAACTTATGGGCCTTGTTCGTAGAGAACATTTCATTAATTTGACCCCAAAGTCAAGGGAAATAAAGGCAAAATTAAGTGAATGGGACTATGACAAACTAAATAGCTTCTTCACATGCTACCTTAAGTAATATGATAAAATATATAGTATAACTTTGTTAGAAATTACAGCCAAGAACATTGTCATAGCATTTGCTATCTACCTGACCCAGTACAAGGTATTATTAAAATATATCAGAGACCCATATTAGCTTAATTAAAATGAAACTTGGTGTTTCATGATCAGTAATCAACTTGAATATTGACTACTTATTTCCTTTACTAAGAACTGAGAATAATAATTTTAACATTTCTAATTTTTTCTTGCACTCTTGAACATAAGTTAAAGGTAGCCTAGCTGGACTCCAGGTTACTGTTCTACATTTAAATCAATCCTGGGCAGCAGATTAATTGGTATTTGAAAGCTTATTAGATTTTTAGAAACTATTGATAGTTTAACCTCAGTCTTACCCATAAAATTAGTATGACTGTATTGGTTATGAGTCATTTTTCCCCTGGGAACTAGTCTGTGGGTTAAAAATCATTCTTTGTGACCATTTCTTGGTTTTCTAAACATGACATCTGGCCCTAGGAAGACAAATTGTGTTCACCATGTTGAACATCCTATTGGAGTCAGGACTAAAGCAGGGGGACCTCAAATAAGGAAACTGGTTGCCATTTAAGGAGCAGCAATTTATTTTAGAGATTTTATGGATTGTGTCCCCATCACCTGTTTTAGCATAATATTGGGTCTCCACACATAATGTGACTCTCACTCTTTTCCAGAATGTAGAAGCCGACAGTCCTCTGCTACTTGCCACTCTGTTAAACCAAACTCTTCAGTGTCATCAACTGTGACCCCAGAAAATGGCACAACTAATGGATACAAGTCAGGATTCATTCAGACAGGTAATGGGGCATGTTCTTTTAAAATTTCAGACAGTAGCCCTAGCTGGTTTGGCTCAGTGGGTAGAGCGTTGGCCTGCGGACCGAAGGGTCCCAGGTCCGATTCTGGTCAAGGGCACATGCCTGGGTTGCAGGTCTGGTCCCCAGAGGGGGCATGTAGGAGGCAGCCAATCGATGATTCTCTCTCATCATTGATATTTCTCTCTCTCTCTCCCTCTCCCTTCCCCTCTGAAATCAATAAAAATATATTTAAAATTTCAAACAGTAGATGTATATTTAATAAGGCATTTAAAATTTACTCTCGGCTGGTTTGAACAGACATATTTTAAAATATAGGTAAATTACTTGAGTTCCTATTAGAATTAGAATCAGCATTGAGATAGGCCAGTCTCTGGGTGACCAGAATCCTAAATCCTGCCAATGCTAGGACAGGATGGAGAAAGGAACTGGTAGTTGACAGGAAATTTAACTCAAACATAGGGCCCATTACTAGAGGCAATAAGTGGAAATCCAGACATGAACAAAGTCTACCTCATAGCTGTCAGGTGGCATGTACTGGGGACTGAAGTTCCAGGGTATGTCTCTAACTAAGCCCACAAAACATTATAGGGAGTATTGTCCCAACTGGGATAGAAAGTAAGGTCCCAGGATAGACTGAGGATCATAACAAGAATCCAGGTTCTAGTTTCAAGATAGGAGCTTGGATATGAATAACCAGATAAAATTTTAGTGCCTGAAACTAGTTTACAGTATCAGAGCAAGATCAGCAGAGTGGACAATCTGATACTGAGCAGATTAGTTACTAGTCTAAGGCTTCTGAAAATTCTTTCAGTATAGAGAGGGCAGCACTGGCCCAGGCCCTGAGGTCAGAACAAGGCTCTAGGTGAGAATTAGTATTTCCAGGTGACACAAGGGCTGGAGGGCTATAACCAAAAAGATCAGGGCAGATAGTATTTGAAAAAGTTATTCAGGAGCAGTCTAGGTTATATCTTAGGCAGGAAGGAAAGTGTTTTTAAAGGATTTGTGAATATTTTTCAGTGCACTTGTATTTTGTAAAGTACCATTTTACTCATCTGATACGCAGACTTCCTAGCATATGTGTTTTGCCAGTGTCCAGTCAACCATTCAAGTTGATAAGAAGGCTGTATTTATTTCACTGCTTAGCATTCCTCTTTCAAATCTATGTGAAATTCTGATGAGCTGATAAATTATTTTTATTTGTTTCAAGATGAAAGTGATTATTAAAATATGTTAACAGTGATAATAAGACTGACTTTACATGGGACACTTCTTGCTGTGCGTCTACATTCAGCTAAGTCTACTTCATTCTGGATTTTAAAAGTGTAACTTTCGCCCTAGCTGGTTTGGCTCTGTGGATAGAGAGTCAACCTGCAGACTGAAGGGTCTTGGGTTCGATTCCAGTCAAGGGCACATGCCTAGGTTTCAGGCTTGATCCCCAGTAGGGGGCATGCAGGAGGCAGTCAATCAATGATTCTTTCTCATTGTTGATGTTTCTATCTCTTTCTCCCTCTCCCTTCCTCTCTAAAATCAATAAAAATATATTTATACAAAAAAAACTTAGCATCAACAGGAAAATATTTAAAAGAAAAAAAGTCTAACTTTCATTAGTCCAAGAGATTTAGATAGAGGCTGTGATATAAGAAAAGAGAGTATTTCTCTTTAGAATAAATAAGAGAACATCATGTCACTAGGTATTCAAGAAAGAAAAAAGTTGGTGTTTAGCTCTTGGCATTGAAAGATTGGCTTCATTACAATAAACCTTCATGTCTCTCCTATAATACTATTTTAGTAATTTTATTGATTTTGTGGTATAGTTTATGCTATTAGACCTTGGGACCAGAGAAATGCAATTTTAAAACTGCAATATTAAAAATGAATATTTACTTCATTCCAACAAAATTTTATCAAGTGTTTATTATCAAATAACTTGTCAAATGCTATAAGGCAGGGTATAGCTCTGATGACTTAAAAACCACTCATATAAAGAATAAAAGAACAATAAGACATGTTACATTTCATAAGAGAAAGAAATCTATATATATAAAAGCCTAAGCAATGGTTCAACTGGTGCTATGATGCGCACTGACCACCAGGGGGAAAATGCTCAATGCACAGGCATGGAAACATGAACAGACTGATGAATCTTAGAGGGAAGAGGGGAGGCGGAGGGCAAGAAGAGATTAACCAAAGATTTTTTTCTTTTCTTTTCTTTTTTTTTTAATATATTTTTTATTGATTAAGATATTACATATGTGTCCTTGTCCCCACGTTACCCTCTACCCTCCCCCCCCGCTCATGCCCTCACCCCCCCATTGTCCATGTCCATTGATTAGGCCTATATGCTTGCATATAAGTCCTTTGGTTGATCTTTCCCCCTTACCCCCACCCTCCCCTACCTTCCCTCCAAGTCCCGACAGTCCAATCAATGCCTCTCCGTCTCTGGATCAGTCCTTGTTCATCAGTTTATGTTGTTCATTATATTCCACAAATGAGTGAGATCATGTGGTATTTATCCGCTCTCCAGTTCCATCCATGCTGTGGCAAATGGTAAGAGTTCCTTTTTCTTCTTCCTCTTCTTAAAGAATACCTTTCAGCATTTCATATAATGCTGGTTTGGTGGTGATGAACTCCTTTAGCTTTTTCTTATCCGTGAAGCTCTTTATCTGACCTTCTATTCTGAATGATAGCTTTGCTGGATAAAGTAATCTTGGTTGCAGGTTCTTGCTATTCATCACTTTGAATATTTCTTGCCACTCTCTTCTGGCCTGCATGGTTTCTGTTGAGAAATCAGCTGACAGTCGTATGGGTACTCCCTTGTAGGTAACTGACTGTCTTTCTCTTGCTGCTTTTAAGATTCTCTCTTTATCTTTTGCTCTTGGCATTTTAATTATGATGTGTCTTGGTGTGGTCCTCTTTGGATTCCTTTTGTTTGGGGTTCTCTGCGCTTCCTGGACTTGTAAGTCCATTTCTTTCACCAGGTAGGGGAAGTTTTCTGTCATTATTTCTTCAAAAAGGTTTTCAATATCTTGCCCTCTCTCTCCTTCTGGTACCCCTATAATTCTGATGTTGGTATGCTTGAAGTTGTCCCAGAGGTTCCTTACACTATCTTCATATTTTTGGAATCTCTTTTCTTTTTTCTTTTTCGGTTGGGTATTTTTTGTTTCTTTGTATTTCAAATCTTTGACTTGATTCTTGGGATCCTCTTGTCTACTGCTGGATCTCTGTAAATTATTCTTTATTTCAGTCAGTGTATGCTTAATTTCTAGTTGGTCCTTTTTCATGTCCTCCATGGTCTCACTATACTTATTGAGGGAGTCATTCAATTTATCGGCGGTTTCCATAAAATTCTTGAAAAACCTCATAAACGTGGCCTTGAACTCTATATCCAGTCGTTTGCTTTCCTCCATTTCTGCCATTTGTGACCTGTTTCTTTGTCTCCGCATTTTGGCTGCTTCCCTGTGTTGATAGAGTGGCCCTGCGCGCCAGGTGTCCTGTAGGGCCCAGTGGCTCAGCCTCCCCAGTTACCTGGGGTGGACACTCTTGGTGCACTCTTGGTGCCTTGGTTGTTGTAGGATCACTGGGAGGAATTGACCTCCAGGCCAATTGGCTGTGAGAATCAGCTGTGTCTAAAGTGGGAGAACTTCTGTGCTGAAGACACCCTTCTGGGGCAAGACTTGCTTCAGTGGGGCTTTGGTGCTCACTGAGTCTGCTCCCTGAGTGTGTCCCTTATGGATCTGAGGAGTTGCAATCTGGATGGTCCCCCTCTGACCACTGGGTACAGTGGCTCCTGGATCTAAGGAGGTGCTAATTCAGCCTCTGCCTGAGGCCACACAGCAGGAGCCACGAAGAGGCTCAGCTGTGAAGCAATGCAAGCCGCTGCAGGGCCTTGGGCCTTCTCTTGGAAGTTCCGGGTCTGCCTGGCTCGGCTGCAGTTAGGTACATTCACATGCAAAAGCCTCTGCCGCAGCCTGGGTGGGGCGGGGTCTCAGGGAATCAAAGGGCGGATCAAGGAGCTATGGCTGATTCTCCGCCCGGAGTCGTGGGTCTCAGTGACCCGCTAATTGCTGCAAGCACCTCTGAGGGAAAGCCGCCTTCAAGTTCGCTCGCTGCCGGACAGACCAGCTTCTTCCCGTATGAGTCCTGGGTCCCCAGAGACTTCCCGGAACCGGAGTTCAGAGCAGCCGGGAGTTTGTGATTCAAAAAGACAGCCGCGTCCTCAGGTGCCACCCCCTTTCCGCGCACGCGCGAACCACCGTACCTCTGCACTTGTACCTCTGCACTTCACCTCTGCAGCTCCTCTGGCTCTCAGCATGCTTTTCTTTCCTTCTAGTTGTAGAATTTACACTCAGCCAGCCTTCCTGTTGTTCTGGATGATGTCTGCTCTGTCCTTTGCGGTAATTTTCAATTGTTGTGTGAGGCGGCAATTTCCCGGTGTTTACCTATGCCGCCATCTTAGTTTCTCCAACCAAAGATTTTATATGTATACTAGAGGTCCAGTGCACCAGTGGGGTCCCTTGGCCTGGCCTGAAACCGGCCTGGTGCATGGATTCATGCACCGGTGGGGTCCCTCAACCTGGTCTGCAGGGATCAGGCTGAAACTGGCAGTCCGACATCCCCCAAGGGGTCCCGGATTGCGAGAGGAGGTAGGCCAGGCCGAGGTCCTCTAGTGGATATATAAATAACCATTTGTACCTGAAAATATATTAAAATTATAATAAATAGTAATGCAAAACAAAGCAATAATGTGTTCTCATTGCAATCATATACCTCATGACATTTCAGTCAATCACAGACTCTGTGTATAATGGTGGTTCCATAAGGTAATGGATTATAAGCAAAACGTTTGTTTGAAATTTTAGAAGAAAAATCTGGCCCTGACTATAATGTTGAATTTACTGGTAGCTCTGGATGGTTTAAATCAGCGGTTCTCAACCTGTGGGTCGCGACCGCTTTGGGGGTCGAACAACTCTTTCACAGGGGTC